AAAAGTGGAAGACAATTGTACAGACCTCTCGGATGTGTTCATTTTCCCCTGAAATTCCTATTTAGACCACGTAAGTTTGATGAACTAACTTCAGTGAACCACTCTCATACTGTATCTACTACCTGAACAAGTTGTTCTTTACAACTACGCTATATAGAAAGCATTGTTACGGAATAAATTTGAAACGCCTAACTGAATACTAACTATCGTTGTGAATACTACCTTTTTACGAGTTTAACTATACTTTGTTATCCAAGATTCGTGCTTGGTCTGTTTATAATTCATTTCGACCTCTTTTGGTCTCGATTTCACAATTGATTTGACGTCTCACATTTTGACTCTAAAAAAAGACTGGAAAGAAGGACTTCTGATCAAAATACCAAAGAAAGGCGATCTCAGCAAGTATGATAACTACAAGGGTAATCACTCTTCTCTCAATACCGGGTAAAGCCTTCAACAGGGTACTGTTAAACAGGATGAAGGACTGCGTAGACACCCAACTTCGTGACCAACAGGCAGGATTCCGTAAGGATAGATCGTGTACAGATCAAATCGCATCTCTACGGATCATTGTGGAACAATCAATACAATGGATATCCAGGATGCAGTTGGACGATCTAGACTTCGCAGATGATCTGGCCCTTCTATGCCAAACGCACCAACAAATTCAGGAGAAGACGAACAGTGTGACAGCAGCCTCAGCAGTAGTAGGTCTCAATATACACAAAAGGAAAAGCAGGATTCTCCGATACAACACAGCATTGCTAAACAGGATGAAGGACTGCATAGACACCCAACTTCGTGACTAGCCGGCAGGATTCCGTAAAGATAGATCGTGTACAGACCAACTGGAAGGGGATCAAAGAGGCAATCACTTCAACTTGTCATGAGGTCCTGGGTCACAAGAAGTACCATCACAAGGAATGGATCACTGTTGATACACTGGGTAAGATTCAAGAAAAGAGGAACAAGAAGGCAGCAATCAATACTAGTCGAACAAGAGCAGAAAAAGCCAAGGCACAATCTGAATACATAGAAGTAAACAAACGAGTGAAGAGGAGCATCAGAACCGACAAACGTAAATATGTGGAATATTTAGTAATAATAATATATTTCTGCATGTGCAGGTACACACCGTTTTTTACAGGCATGATCTATAAATTACCAACATTTGTTGGTTCGCAAAATGCTTCCCAACTTATTAAGTTTATAGTTGTTATAAAGTGAAATCGTAGAGCGCTTGCTGTAAACTATGACATTGAGAGGACGCGTACGTTAAGTTTGCTCCAAACGTCAGAAGTTTCATAGCTGTGCTCTCAGAGCAAGATTCTGAAGGAGAAAAAAGATAAACAGAAGAGCAGCAAGGCACTTGGATATGAACGCCAAAGGTTGCTTAACACTGTGTAGTAGAACGGACAGAGGTATAATAAATTAGAATAAATTCATATTATGTCTTGTTAGATGTGAAGTGAAGTCAGAGGCTCCATATTAGAGAATGTACTAATAAAGAACAACGAGTAGTGATGTTTAACAAGTTGGAGTAAGCTCACATGAAGGAAGGGAAGTCAAGGTTGGTACAAGGGAAGCGGTTTATTAGAAGGGTGTGTATATAGAGGGTGAAGTGTTAAGAATTACTAGTGACTATATCTTTTATTGCCTTTTTTCTTTTCTTTTTTGTCCATCGATGTCAGCCACGCAATCCTAGTTGTAAAAGTCCGAGTTAGCATGTTATAGGTTGTCTTAGTAGAATAGCTAATCCAGCATATTATTGGAAACATGAGTCTGAGTGGTGAGCGTAGGAAGACAATCTATATCTTAGATTGACTGTCTTATTCTCAATTATAAAGAGCCTGATACAACAAAAATGTTTTGTCCCCACAAACACGGGTGGGATTGAAGTTATCGCCCTCACCATCAATGCTTGCTGGTCAGTACTCACGGCGGAAAAAGTGCAAGAGAAGGAAACATGAGACAACTGCATGACACAACAAAGGAACTGTCAGGAAATCAGGGTAAACCAGAACGACCAGTGAAAAGCAAGGAAGGCGAGGTAATCACCAACATTGATGAGCAACAAACAGGTGGGGTAGAACACTTCAAAGAACTTTTGGATCGACCAGCCCCACTGAACCCACCCAACATCGAAGCAGCACACGGATCTCCCAATCAATGTTGGCCCACCAACAGTTGAAGAAATCAGCATGGCCATCAGACAAATCAAGAGTGGCAAAGCAGCAGGACCAGACAACATCCCAGCAGAGGCACTAAAAGCAGACGTATCGGTAACTGCATGAATACTCCACATTCTCTTCAATAAGATTTGGGATGAGGAACAAGTACCAACAGACTGGAAAGAAGGACTTCTGATCAAAATACCGAAGAAAAGCGATCTCAGCAATTGTGATAACTACTGGGATATCACTCTTCTCTCAATACCAGGAAAGTCTTCAACAGGGTACTGTTAAACAGGATGAAGGACTGCGTAGACACCCAACTTCGTGACCAACAGGCAGGATTCCGTAAGGATAGATCGTGTACAGACCAAATCGCATCTCTACGGATCATTGTGGAACAATCAATTGAATGGAATTCATCACTCTACATCAACTTCATTGACTACGAAAAGGCATTTGACAGCGTGGACAGAACAACACTATGGAAATTTCTTCGATACTACAGCGTGCCTCAGAAGATAGTCAATATCATACAGAGTTCATATGATGGATTACACTGCGAAATCGTGCATGGAGGACAGTTGACAAAGTCGTTCGAAGTGAAGATCGGTGTTAGACAAGTTTGCTTACTCTCACTCTTTCTCTTTCTCCTGGTGATCGACTGGACCATGAAGACGTCAACGTCTGAAGGGAAGCACGAGATACAATGGACATCTAGGATGCAGTTGGACGATCTAGACTTCGCAGATGATCTGGCCCTTCTATGCCAAACGCACCAACAAATTCAGGAGAAGACGAACAGTGTGACAGCAGCCTCAGCAGTAGTAGGTCTCAATACACACAAAAGGAAAAGCAGGATTCTCCGATACAACACAGCATGCACCAATTCAATCACAATTGACGGAGAAGATTTGGAAGATGTAAAAACCTTTACGTATTTGGGCAGCATCATTGATGAACAGGGTGGATCTGATGCAGATGTGAAGGTGCGTATCGGTGAAGCAAGAGCAGCATATTTACAACTGAAGAACATATGGAGCTCAAAGCAACTGTCAACCAACACCAAGGTCAGGATTTTCAATACAAATGTCAAGACAGTTCTACTGTATGGGGCAGAAACCTGGAGAACTACGAAAGCCATCATCCAGAAAATACAGGTGTTTATTAACAGTTGTCTACGCAAAATACTTCAGATCCATTGGCCGGACACTATTAGCAACAACCTACTGTGGGAGAGAACAAACCAGATCTCCAGTGGACGAAGAAATGAGGAAGAAGCGCTGGAAATGGATAGGACACACATTGAGGAAAGCACCCAACTGCGTCACAAGACAAGCCCTCACATGGAATCCTCAAGGCCAAAGGAAAAGAGGAAGACCGAAGAACACATTACGCCGAAAAATGGAAATAGACATGAGAAAAATGAACAAGAATTGGATGGAACTAGAAAAGAAGGCCCAGGACAGAGTGGGTTGGAGAATGCTGGTCGGCGGCCTATGCTCCATTGGGAGTAATAGGCGTAAGTAAGTAAGTAATTTTGCCTGTAAGAACTGGAGTACTGAAAGTTTGTTGTGAAATTTCTTGTTGTAATTCCTATCTACCGTGATGTTCTGGTGTTTCTTATCGTGCCAATGAAATTTATTTATTTTGATCCTGGTGTTTCGATTTTACAGTTCTTTGGTTGTATGTTGCGAACTTACTAAATATTTGTATTTTGAACTAAGCAGAGTCAGAATTATGGATTCAGTTCACTACTGACTATGTTTGTCATTATATGTTATTTTGTCACGGTTGGAGTATCCACTTATTTATCCAGGATAAAGCACAATGTAACTAACTATTCCTAACTGCCAAACTAGAACTCGTGAACAAATAATGGTACAAGAACCCGTTTAATCAACAAATATAACAACCAGATTCAAATATTCAACAATACTGATACTGTTATTGAGTTCATATGTTTTTCTTTTTTAGTCTCCAATAATTTTTCCGGCTGTCTCCTGTAATGTCTTAAGCAAACAACTGGAAGATTACTTGGTGATACATTGGAAATCAAAAGGTTAACTCAATACCATTCATCGTATGACTATACACTACATGGATTCGTGCTACCCAAAGCACGAAACTATGAAGATTTAGGAGTCGTATTAAGCAATGATCTCAAAACCAATAGTCACTGTAAGGCTGCTACTGCAAAAGACTATAGGGTATTATGGTCAATTCGTAGGTCTTTCCAGTATTTAGATGATGAAATATTCAGATTACTATACCCGATTCATGTGCGATCACATCTAGGATACGGAATTCAAGCAGCGTGTCTTTGTTTTGAGTATGAAGCAGATATGCTAGAAAGAGTCCAACGACGAGCTACTAAGATGGTACAAGATCTGTCTGGCCTATCTTATGAAGACAGACTGAGACAACTTAACTTATTTCCGTTATCTTACCGTAGAATACGGGGTGATCTAATATTGGCTTATCGTATACTGAACGATGACCTTGGTATTAACATGTCTTATCTTTTGCTTCCGTCTATAACCGATCATTTGAGAGGACATTCGAAGAAAGTTCAAGAACCGAGATCAAACCGTTTACGTCTGGAGTTCCGTTTCTCGCACCGAGTAGTGAATTACTGGAATTCTCTACCGGAACACGTAATATCAGCTCCGTCTGTTAATATATTCAAAACATGGTTGGACCTCCACAGTATTACAAACTGCAAGGATTAATATAGGTCGATAGACCTCCTATCCTTATTACTGAAGACTGAAACTAGACAATCAAGTGTCGCCGCATTTTCAAGCACGCGCATTTTTAAATTGAGTAAACAAAACGCAAAGCATCTTGTGACCATTGGAAGAAGTGTTAACACGAGCCTCAACTTTTTGTTCTCTGATCTTAAAACTTTCAAAATTTTGCCAGCCTGAGCGTTTTTGAACTACGGACTTACGATCAAGGTCGTTGCTGGTTCGCCTAATGAAGATGCCATCAGTAGGTCATTATTCTTCCATCAAATTTGTTTAGAATAAGACTAGTTGGTGTCCTGGATTGTGTTGGTCTATTGTGTGGCTGCTCATCTGGTTCTTGGCTTGGCCAATGGCTTTTGTGCTAGCCATAGTTGAAGTATTCATCATTCCTTTCTGTGTTTGTTTCGAGAAAGCCAAAACGGCATGTGAATTCATCGACAGAATATATAAGGTTTGTAACACTGGTTATTTTTTTAACCCTGCGGTTCATTCGATTTCACTCGAATGTTAGAGGTAAAGTTAAATAAGGGCAATATTGCCCTTATAAAGGAAACAAGCTATATCGCTTGTTTCCTTTATATCGCTTGTTATACGCGAAGCGTTTGGTCTCGACTTCAATATATTAAGGTAATTTTCTGACATTCAGAAGTCATCACATTAGTATTGTTGTGTGTTTCATGAATAGAAACTGTCTTGAATCTTTATTAGCTGTAAAGTTAACCACACCATATAGCGTATTGCTGGTGTTTATATTGAAGCCGTAACGTATTTACCTACAAGAATTCAATTTCTATTCGGTAAGTAATACGAAAATAAGATGAAATTGACCTGGAACTTTCAATTATCACGAATTGGTTTTAAATGTGAGGGTGATGTGTAACAGTTTTGTTCTATTAGCTATTTATATATACTCGATTGATTTGTCAACCTATAGTCTGATCTCTATGTTTGTGCGCCGCAAATAAGTCAGGTGGAACTCGTTGACAACTGTCTGCCTGCCTTTCAATGAATATACTGCTATGATCCGACCAATGTAAATATATAAACAACCTAGCTTCTTGTTTTCCAGAATATAGAAAAGAAAATGTTTAGCCTTTTGGCCCTGGTTGGGATTCAGTTATGGATGGTACGCTAATTATTTCATGCTCTGTGCTCTGTAACACACCAAGTTATTTCTGTTTGTATATTGAATGTATGATGCTCACCAATGCTGTAAAAAGCTACATAAAAACAGTACAGCGAAAAAAATCAATCGGTCAGGTAATCAGGCATGCGTAACAGGGCCCAACCATGTCAGTCGATGAGGATTCACAACCTCATCTACTGATTCACCATCATTCCCTAATACCATGCGGCTAACTTCACCATTACTTACTCGATGATCCCAGTAGATGCTGGCAAGGTTTCGAAAGCATATGTGGTGTGGTAAACATACAGCAGTCTGTCATTGACAGGTGTTTCAGAGAAGTACATTAACCTTGTACAGGCTCTCTACTCGAACACTACTGGTCGAGTCAGAGCTTATGGCAAACTGTCATCGAAATTGGCTACTTCAGGTGGTGTGCGTTAGGGTTGTCCATTTTCCCCATTTTTATTCAACTTTTTCATAGACATGTTTTCAGAGATAACACTTTCATCGTCTAACTTTTCGCAGGTTGGTGTTTTACGAGTAAATTCACTTAATGACTTTGAATACATAGATGATGTAGTTGTGTTCGGTGAAGACGCTGACAAAATGTAGTCTTTTGACCACGTTCAGGAACAACCAAGGGACGAGTTTACTGTGCAGCGGTTCGCTCCATTCTACTTTGCGGATGTGAAATATGGTGATTAAGAATAGAGGATATTCGTAGGTTACTGGTATTCGATTATTAAATCAGAGGTGTCTTGAAAGCATTGTACGTGTGTTTTTGAACCACGAAGTAAGCAATGCTTGTATTAGGAATAAGGTATTAGGTAATGATGAGAAATCAATTAGAGGTAATGAATCTTCATCAACCAAGGTAGTTGGGACGTGTGTTATGTATGCTGAACCACCGCCTATCTCGATTGGGGTTATTTTCTGGTGTTGAAGTAGGCTGGAAGGAAGCTAGAAGTGACCAAACTACAACATGACATCAGTTCATGAAGTTACTGACAATTGGATTTGGCCATGTTAATAGGCATAGACTATCTGTTAAGGGTCCGCGTATCTATCATAACCAGTGGTTAGAGATTTGAATGAAATTGCTCGAAATCGTTTGCAGTGGTGCAGGTGCACCCGTTCTTTGTCTTCCCCAAGTTCTGAGGTTCTAAAGTCCTCCATAACTTTTAATTTCACTGATATATGTTTTCCTCTCGCATCGTATCCTCGGTGCATAATATACTACAACTGACTGTTACTACCTCCACTATTCTGGGAGTTTGCCTGACAATTTCATCTCTGTGCTAATGAGGTATGGCAGCTTGAACCGATGTACATACGTGTAGGTTCCTACATTGTGACTGATTGACTGACCAGTCATTTCAACGCTAACATGTTTTATGTAGGGGTTTTGTAGAGATTGTAGAATTTCCATAGAACAAACCCACGAACTGATCTTAGTTGAGCCCACCATTGAGTTCAAGAGACTTTGAATAGCTGTTTCGTACTTATTGTGGGACTCGTACACAATGTGCATGCACGGACCCTGCCACGGAGGATCAAATATAGGGTCGGCCCTCATTCGTGAAAACTTCGCCCTCTAAACCACGGAACTGTCCGAATCCGAATCCTAGTTTTCCAATGTGTTGATCGCACTGAAGCCAGTCTGGACTTAAGGATCTAACAAGTTAATTTAATTTTACTAACAATCCGAGTTTCTCATGCTGTAATTTGGGAAAAAGCTTATTTTCCTTGAACCTGCCTATCGCTTTTGTGGTACATGAATTTAGATTTGTGACTGTAGAACCTAATAAGAATTTACTGTAAAGAATATTATTCGCCCTACCATATACAGTCCTTATTTTGACAAATATAGGAATTTTTAAATAATTAAGAATAGAATATCATAGAGAGTAAGTTACTTCGAGGAATGAAACGTATAGCATAATGTTCTTGCTCATGTTCGCGTCTATGCAGTTATATAAGCTTTTAAACCATCTATTATTGCTTCCAACCATAAATTACGACTATCATGCAAACTCTGATTGTGTCTCTCAACACAGCTCGTCTAACAGTTAGTAACTTTGTTAGTCTTCGTATTTCCACTCTTCACTTTTTTACCGACTACTATTGGATTAATCGGTCACTGAGGTGTAACGTGTGTCCCCAACAATCCCAATCCATTAAAATTTCACAATCTCATTGATCAATTCACTCCTAATGTCAATTATTCCATGCCGGGGAAATCAGAACTGCTCGACACTATGGGACTCTCATGTTGTATGCGTGTAGTACTCTGTAGACTCCCACTAATCGAAGTCAGAATTCTGAAGCTTTCCACTGACTCATGAATTCTATTTCAAGGCGTAGACTGCGTACCTGCCATGTTGAAATCCTGTATAGTATACTCGACAGGTATCAAAATGTTCCGGACCAACACAACATGTGGCACAAGTTGGCGGTACCCAAACGAGTCCCTGGGATCCCCATCAATAATTTTGTCAGATATCAGCTTCAACCTAGGGGTGGTGGACTTCCTGTCTTTAACCCAACCAATGAGGAATACCAATGCGAAAATGAGAGGTTGATAAGGTCCTCAAGCTGTAGGAGTTGCTCGACACACTCACTAATTTATTACGCAAATTAGATACTAACTCAGACCACCACGAGACCCGAAGTTTCTGTAAAAAACTGATTCACCATGCTATGTGTTGAAAAATAAAAAAAGATGGAAAGAAAAGGGTGGAAATAACCTGGGGATGAGAAAAATTGTGATTCACTTTCAGCTACCCAATATAAAGGGTGGGGAGAGTTTGCTCTCCCGAATCGCTCTTACAGTCACTGCTTCCTCGTGGCGGGGATTTTGTATGCGGAATTGAGGAAACATAAAGTGGATATCCGGTGCTCAGACCGGGTTAGTCGGTACTGTGATCCACCTATGGGAGTCGGAAAACCGTGATTCCAAACCAATGGTGCACTTGGGCTTCAGGATCCTGAAAGAACAAATATCGTATGAAACTATTGTTTGTCACTGGCTACTATGGAATTGCATCTCCTGACATTGTTTCAGTACACCGTGGATGTGACCTCTGGGTTAAGGAGTCGAGGAGTGGCCCCTTAAGAAATCTACCTGTTTCGGTTCGGGTATTCGGGCAGTATCCCAGCCCACACAAATTCAATGATTTGTGTAGCACATGTATATTTTGGTCCCTCATTCGTAAAAATGTGTTTAATTAAATAATATCCACCGACAGACTACATGACTGAGTGTCGTCATTAGTTCAACTCTGGTTCATCAGTGTTTAAAACTTTTCGTGTTACTGATAGATGTGTGATATGTATAGTTCTCATGTTTCCTCATGTCTCTTTTCGGTAATTTGATTATGTATCCGTTTTTTTCAATCTGTTTACACTTGTTCTTCCTCCCGAATCTCCCTGAATGGAACATGGGGCATCTTTGCAGCTGCTCTCTTGATTCTCACGTCTTACATTGACCTTCTGAATTTTTTACTGATGCAAATATGATTGATCGAATTCTCTGTGGTGTAATGCGTTGAGACCCATGTAGCTTTGTGTATGCGTTTGTGGGGGGGGATATTGTGCCACCTATAACCATTTTGTTGAGCGCACATAAATTTGCAAATATGTTACCATTTTCATTCTTTTCCCCCAATCAATCCATGTTGTTTCATGATATCTTCGTATCCGTTGTTGTCCATTTCAACTTTGGTGATTAAGTCTCCCATCAGGATGGTCAGGTCTTTCCCTGGGCACTTCACTATGATTGACTGAAGCCTCTCTTAGAACTGATTTTTATCGTCGTCGTTGCTATCATTGGTGGGTGCATAACATTGTACAGGGTTTAAGAAAAAGGGATGATTTCGCTGAATAAAATGTAGAAAGTAGATTTAAAACTTTGGATCTAAGCTAAAACTAGAATTGAATCAGTTTGCTCCAAAGTAATTAACTTTGAACCAAATTACCTAACTTCTGCAACTACGGATCATGGTAATCGCATGGATCCAAACCTGATAGCTCTCATCTACCAATATATCTCAGCTTAACAGTCGATAGTTTCACGTAGTGATGCCACGTTTTGGTTTGGTCACACCTACTTTTCTTCCAACCTATGTCATCCAACATTGTGCGTCGAGGTAGACGGTGGTTGGACTTACATACCACTTGTTCTATTCGACTCAATCGGAAATAGTTTATAGCTTCATTAGTCAGTTTGCCATCTTTGTTTAATGTACTGCGTATAACTTCAAGATTTCTCGCTCAGTGGTCCAAACGAACCTTAGTAATGCTTCAAAGACATCTTTGATCAA